ATAAATGTTGAAATACCCACTTACAATTATTAATTTGTTTGTTCTCTCATTTCTGTCAGTGTTTCTTGAAAATGTTTGCAATTCTGTTATTAGGGACATTCTGAGTTAGTATTACTGTCTGTTCCTGGTGAATGAACGAACCACTTTAAGACTGGAGACTACTCCCCGTCCTCCGCCTGTTTAGTCCTGGTAATGCTTTGTCCCAAAATCTACGACATGATTTATAGTGAATTAGCTGAGTATAGAGCCTGTTTCCTTTCTTTGGATTAATATTTTCAAAGTGTATCAATTTCTATCCTTTCTTCTTTAATCCATATCTTTATGTTTGATATCTCAAGTGATTTTTAAAAAATAAATAATGGCCATCTGAGTCTCATCTTTACTGGCTTTACAACCTTTCCCTTTAAGACTGAGTGCCTAGGCTCTTAGCAACTGAATTCATTACTCCATGTAGAGCCACATTCCACCTGGCTTCATTTTTTCTTCTGCCTAAAGAAATAATAATTCTTCTTCTCCTCCTCCCTTCTTCCTCTCTTCCTCCTTGTTCTTCTTCCTCCCCTTCTTCTTCCCCTTCTTCTCCTCCTTCTTTTTCCTCCTCCTCCTCTCATTCTTCTTCTTCTTCTTCTCCTTCCTCTTCTCCCCTTCCTCCTCTTCCTCTTCTTATCTTCCCCCTCCTCGTCTTTCTTCTTTTTCTCCTCCTCTTACTCCTGCTCCTTCATTTTTAAAAAATAGTGTCAGTTTTTGCTGGTGAGAATTTTTCTAAGATTTCTTTTTGCTGTTTAGAAATTTATAGCTTCCCTTAAGAGTAGACTTGCCTTTTTAGGGCAGTTTTAGGTTAACAACAAAATTGAGGGGAAGGTCCAGAAATTCCCAATGTATCTTCCACCCCCACCTGCACAGCCCCCATAGCCCTCCAGACAGAAGGGACACTTATGAAAACCGACAACCCCGAACTGACAAACCATCATCACCCAGAGTCCATTTTACCATTTTAAAAAATATTTTGTTTATTTGCTTTTAGAGAGAGAGGAAAGGAAGGAGAAAGAGTGGGAGAGAAACATCCATGTCTGGTTGCCTCTCATGTGCCCCTTACTGGGAAGTAGGCCCCAATCCAGGCATGTGCCCTGACTGGGCATCAAACCTGCGACCTTTAGGTTCACAGGCTGATGTGTAATCCACTGAGCCACACCAGCCAGGGCTTACATGCAACTTAAGAAATAAGCTTATTTATTTTCTGGGAAAATGTGCATTTATCATCATTACCAGTCGTGGGCAAACTTGGGAAAACATTTTTAAGTTCTTCACGCTTCTCCTTCCTTATTTGTCAGGTGGAGTGCGTTGTGCACACTATGTCTCTCTCAGCTACGATGTTAATCGGTTGTCACATATTTCAGTGCCTCAGTGGATTAAGAGACACTTTGGCCCCCTCTACTCTGGGCTCCTAGGTCAGCCACTGGCTCATCCTACCAGCTGGATCTACAGTTTACCTGGTGCCATCTGGGTAAGACACACGAGGAGGAGGAAGAGAAGGGACAGGAGTGTCATGGTGGGAAGTGAATTCTTGGGTTACAGGAAGAACTGGCAGTGTCTGGTGGTGGATCCTTGTTCAGTGCACATCATTGAAACATTCAGCCAGAGACAAAAAAAACCTGTCTTCCTACTGAAGGTGTTCAATTGAGTCTCGGCTGTAATTTGAGGAGGTTTCGTCCAGAGATGCATGGGGACAGATCTATGTTTCTGCCTGACCAAAAGGAACACCTTGAGACTAAGTCAGCATTTCCTCCTTGATTCTCACTTCTGCTTGTGACTTGGAGGTTTGGTACTTTTTCTGCTTGAGAAGAACAATAATTTAAAAACTGAGTTGGTTCGGCAAATTATCTGGTCTTCCATTTCATCTTTATGGCAGGTATCTATACCCCTTTATGACAAGTTAGTTTCTTGTTTATGAATATGAACAGCATCTCCCTTTTTAGGAGGTAAATAAAGTGGCGAAATTTTGTAAATGAAAATAATCTTTCCTTTTTATTCAGTCTTTTTTATTTTTGGCTACCTATTTCAAAGAGCGTGGATGCATCCTAGACAAGCTCTCACCATGCCAAACTCTCACAGAGGTCACGAGCAGGTGAGACTTTGAAGACGACAATACTTCTTCTTCTTTCTTGTTAATGTTTAAACAATTAAATTAATTGGGGTGACATTGGTTAAGTAAGATTATATCAATTTCAAGCATAGCATTCTGTAATAAATCGTATGTACATTACATTGTGTGCTCACCACCCAGAGGGCAGTGTCCCTTTGTCACCATGTGTTTGAGCCCTTCTGCCCTCTTCAACCTTTGTCCAACCCCCTTTCCCGCTGGTACCCACCACACTGTTGCCTGTGTCTGTGACTCGGCTTGTTTGTTACTTTGTGTTTTTTATCCCACGTGTGAGTGACATCCTGTGGTTCTTGCCCTTTCCCAGCTCACTTATTTCACTTAGCATGATCCTCTCAGGATCCATCCCTGTCATCACGGTGACAGTATTTTTTAATACAGGGCTTACGTTAATGCATTATTGTGATAAAGCCCAGAAGAATCCCAGGTGATGCACTAAAGTTCTCTCCCATCTCTGCCTCTCCATGTCTGTTCTACTTTACCTTGTTCATATGTCTCCCTTTTTCACTATGCCATGAATTTCTAAAATAACAAGTCCTGTTACTATCTCACATTCTCAACACCTTGAACAGGGTGCGTGGGATAGAGAAAGTAGTCAAACAGTTGTTTAAATGAATGAGTGCTAGTGCAGCAGAACTGATTTGTGAGTGATTCAAAAAATGGATGCATGGGGGAAATAATGAGGGAGGAAGGAAGGGAAAAAGGAAGGAGGGAAGGAGGGAGGAAGGAAGAAAGAAAGGAAGAAAGGAAAAGAAGAGGACAGATATCTGATTTCCCTACTTATCGAAAAACAGCCAGTAATATTAGGGAGGAGAAAGGTACATTATGACTGAGATACAAATGTCAAAGAACTCATCAGAGCCATGAAGTAAGCAGTAACCTTTGTGGATATGAAAACAAAAGGAATTTCCGTTAATAGTTGATGAGCTTTGGAGTCAGAATGACCTTGGTTCACAGTCCTTCATCTGCCACTTATTAGCTGAGTGATCTTGAAATAGCCTTTTGAAGCTCCAGTTCTACCTGTATCTTTGATGAGGAATCAAGTACCACGCTCTCGTGTCCCATGTGAGAAACTGGGATCAGTGGAGTCAGTGGCTGGCCTGGTGCCTCTCCATGCAGAGCTGTGCTGGAGCTGAGGTCCCTGCCAGGGAGCCATCCCAATGCAGGAAGGGCTTCCCAGGCAACCTCTGGGTTTCAGAAATGACACAAGAGGTTGGTTCCTTCCATTAAGGTATAGAGTGTCTCAGAAAAACACTGCAATTTAAAACTGGAATTTGACCAAATTGTCTTTTTCGGGGGTTGGCCCATGAAATTAGAATCTGGTAGTGAACCTTCTGTCATATCAGGGATGGAAGAAAGATGGTCTTCAAAAGAACCCAGAATTGTAGGTAAGTTCACACAATTCCCCTCTGCATTTCACTTATGAAATGGCTCCACAGATGAATAAGTTTCCACAATTTGTTCCTTTCTTTCTTGCTGGAGCAAAGGTGAAAGGAGAGTTTTGAATCTTTGCATCAGCATTTGAATTTTTCACTAACTAGGGACCAATTTTAGTTTGTTGCTATTCACTTAAAAACAGAGTAAGTGTGGTAATCTGTTTAAATAAGTCACACTTAATTCTACACAGTAGCTCTGAGGGTTTTACTTCCTTGACTCTAGGAAAATAATAATAGTGCAATAATAATATTAATAGAACAAAGTGTATAGAGGGAAAGCTTTTGTCCATATTTCTACCTTCTATGCTTGTACACTGAAAGCAATCATTTTTATTGACTCATTAAATATTATGATTTATTCCCACCTCTTCTTCTCCAACATGGGGCTCTCTCCTGAACTCCCACCTTGCAATAGGTTCCTGCACCCTTCACAGACTGTCTGCTGTTGTCCTTCCAGGCAGGGACACCTAAGAGCAGCTGCCCATTGTCACATAATTAGGGTTTGGGTCAGATCATGTCACAGTGGGCAGAGAAAGGGCTGAGTGAGGTCAGCATGCATTATGATTCCTCTGGACAGGGGTCAGTTTGGTGCAGAGGTGGGGGTGAGTCAGACTTGAGTGATGTCACCCCCCAAGACAAGGTGAGAAGTGGGGACTGTAGACACTCCCTCCAAAGGGTGTTGCTCAAACAACTAAGCACAGACAAGAGGCAGGTGAGACCAGCATCTCTGTGCTCCCCCTGCCATCTCTGTTGTCTTCCTTCTGGTGTCTGTTCCCCTGTTCTGTGTCCCATGCTCGGTCGTCTTTCTGCACACGTACCTCCAAAAGGACTGCTGTGCTACACCCCTGACCTTCCCCATGTTGTGTCTTTCTGGAGAGACACACTGTGTCTGACTCCTCATTACCACCAAATGGGTCACAATGAATAAGGCCATGTTCTCCTCAAAGACCAGTTCATAGATGAAGTGGGCCAAGTCCACTCCCCAGAGGTTTTATAGCCAAAGGGAGAATTGGAGGTTGACCCACAGGAACCAAAAAGAAGGGAGGACTTGGGCAGCATAAAGGAGGGACGTGTCCCTTCCAGTGGGGAGCAGGTGTGGGGCCCTTGGGGAGAGGGTGCTCTGTGGGTCTTGGGTGAAGTAGGCACTTGTTAGCAGGGTGACATGGGGCAGGTGAGGGCTGATGGGGCTGGAGGAAGGGAGAGCCAAGTGCACATTCTAGGGAAGCACAGGGGTCACTGGGATTTCAGGTGACCCAAAGGTGCCCCTGAACCAGGAAACAGAGGAATAGAGCAGCATGGGGTCCCTGAAGGTCAGTAGGGGAGCTTCAAAGGGGCCCTCAAGGGATTTTGGGATCAGTCCCAGCGGTCAATCTCTGCACAGTAAGCACCATAATGAAAGGGCAAGATTCTTGGTTTTTAAACCAAATGGTTCAATTTTATTTCCATTCGATGTCTTTGCAAAGGTCTTCAATGTCTTCGATGACTTTGTGTGACAACTGGTTCTTCCTTTTCAAGTTACTTTCCTACACAGCACATTACTCCAGGCACCATGCAGTAGGCTATTGCTCTTTTACCTCTAGGGCAAACGAATTGTGAGCATTGACCTCCTATCTTCCTGCATGTACCAGGATTTATAAAGTCAGAAAAACCTACAAGGAAAATAAAAAGGGCCAAAGAGTGTCAGAAATCAAAGCAATCTGTGTCTGTGTGTCCTTGAGATAACCCTCAAGGTCATGGTCACCCCATTATGATAATAAGAGATGAGTCTGTAAAGTTAGGATCCCCTTTCCACACAGATGAGAACTGCTGAGGTTTAAGAGGTTCCTTACGTTTCTAGAACCAGCTGCTTAAAGTCTCTGAGCTGGGGGCCTAGGGACGGGTGGGACTAGACAGAGCCTGTGCCCGTTGAGGACCTCTAACAGAGAGTCACCAGGAAGCCTGCAAGGTCAGGTTCGCACACAGCCCAGTGGTTTCAGAATCAGAAACAGCCAGCAGGTGTCTATTTTTAACCTTTGTTTTCCTAATCATTTCCTCAGTGAAGTATGGGAGCTGAGATAGAGCTTAGGGGTAGGGATTGTCGAAGGAGAGCCTAATGACTAAGGGACTGACCATTGGAAATAAAGATGGCTTCTAGGACTCCTTCTGTAGGAGTGTTTCTCATCTCTGGGAAGTATGGGAGACCTCTCACTTCCTCGATCTTCTCTTCCTGGCCTTTTCAGTCTTTCTGCCTTCATTCCCCTCTTCCTGCCCTTTCCTCCTCCCTCCCTGATACTGTTCTGTGTTGGAATACAGCCATGGACACAATGAATAAAACCACAACTTTCCAACATTGTTTTTCTAAGGTAATTGGTGACCTCACGTCTCTATCTCCTGTTTCTCTCTCCCCTTCTCCCAATTCCTCCTTTCTCCTTCTCATCCATTTCTGTCACACCAAGGACAAAGTCAAGCGTGGGCATCCAGCTGTCAGAGCTCCAAGCCCTGAGCCAAGAGCAGCCTTGTCAGGGATGTGTCGTCATGGATCCTGAGGCAGAAAAGGCAAAGGTACAAATGTCTCCCCAAACAGTGGCTGCCCACGTCCAGGATGGGCTTTGTTATTGTCTAGGTTACTGGAGACTCCACCCTTCAGTATAAGACTTAGATAGTGACACTCTACACGTGTGACCTTAGACAAAATCCAATTTCTTGCTTGTATTAAATAAGAAAAGCTACGCAACAGAGACCACCTCTGTTAGCAGCATCTGACCCTGGAGCTCGGTGAGTAGATGATGTTTACGAGCTGGCCGGGGCCTTCGGAGAGGCTCAGGGAAGGTTCTGCACCTCCTTCCCTTGCGGCAATGGGCAGGGCGCTCGGATCTCAGGAACAAGGGAGACACTCTCTTTGGTCTAAGAGTGTGTGTAGAAGAGAAAAGACGGAGAAGGGAGGGATGGGGGTGGGGAGACAGAAGAAGACAGGGGAGAGACAGAAGGCGAGGGAGAGAGATCAGGGCACAGAGAGGGACTGCCCTGCCCTTCCCACCTGTGTGGCCCCCTGGCTCTGCCCCGCTCACCTGGCACAGACAGCAGGAGCACGGAGAGGAATGCAAGCAGAAGGTGGTGGAGCCTCATGCTGGCGGCTGGGAAGCTGAGCAGCTGACTGGACGGGAAGCTGAGCCTTGCCCTTATATAAGGCTCCAGGTTCCAGCAGAATTAAGCAGGGCGGGGCTGTCTCCATGCCAGAATAAACTTTCTGGAGCTCAGCTGCTTGCGTATACAAGTTTGAATCTGTCAATGCTGTGTTTCCTGTACAGTCTTAGGTCACACTTAGGAACCAGGTCTTTTTACAGGAATTGTAAGGAACAAGAGACAAGTGGGCCTGAGCCTCCATTGGTTACCACGATGGTGACAGTGATGTGGAAAATCTAAAATTTGCCCTCATCCCAGGTGGCATGTGATGAGACAGGTGTATGCTGTGTTTCTTTCTCTTCCTCAGAGGAAAAATGGAGGGTGAAATGGTGACCAACCTGTCTCCTTGGAGTCTCTGTATCACAAAGCAAGGGCAGCCCTTGCAACTTAGGGTCACTCAGATACTCAGGGGACATGCAGCTGTACCTGACAGCAGTGCTGGGAGCCAGTGAGTTGTCCTGTCCTCACACATGTCAAGGCTGGGCTCTCCCTGTCATTTGAGTCCAGTGGGGACTCTCTGAGGGAATGGCAGGAGCTCTACACCCTCTCTGTCCTCCATGGCACCCGGTTCTGAATGCACCCATGACCTCAGGCTCTTTGACGTCTGCGGGTGCCACCCAAAACCTCCCTGTTGCTCTGAGTCCCAGCCGAGTAAACGGTGGCCCCAGGACAGGGACAGCCCTGTGCCACACACTCAGGGGTAGCGTGTTCAGAGACCAAAGAAGGCACATCCATCCCGATTCCTTCCACTTCAGTCTGAGGATGTTTGAGAGAGAGAAACATCTACTCACATAGATTATAATCCTGTGTAGAGAATGTATCGATGCATTTGTTTCAGATGTGGTGGTGAAAAAATCCATAATCCAGGGTCATTTTTGACCAGTGCTCTAAGGAGACGCTGGAGAGAGATGTGGAACGTGGTCACGGTCCACGCTGTGTGCTCACTAAAATGCCGAGCTTCAGAGGCCCCAGGTGACGGGCTGGGTGGAGGTGCCCACAGGAAGCTGTGGGAGCCATCAGGTGTGAGGGTGGGGGTGGCCTTCACTGGGGAGTTTCTGAGGTGCCCTGGAGATGGCGCAGCCAGGCATGGAAGGACGTTGTGAAGGAGACCTGGTAACTGGCACGCCAGATCTCTGTGGTCACTTTCTTCCCCTCCTGGTGACCAGGTTGTCCCTGGGACCCTGTCACTTCCATCCTGACCCTAACCCTGTGTCTTCCAGACCAGGGAGCCTCTGGCAAAGTTGGGGGTGCAAGGGGGTCTCTGTGAGCTCTGTCTGGACTCGTCAGGTTTCCAAAATATTTCTCTGGTTTGGTGAAAGGACTCGGCCAATATTGTGCGGGTCACCCTGCCAATCTCATCCTGTGTCTCTGAAGAGTGAGGACGATCCCCTTTCAAGACCCAGTGCCATTTACAGACACCAAATAACGACAGTCATTTTTACAAAGTGAGACTGATGTCACTTATGATGTAGGGACCAGTGTCATTCCCCAGGGGTTGCAGGAATTAGCTTCACAGCTGTGGATTTCATTCCTCGTCCGTTTTCCCTCTGGACCCCCATGGGAGGAGGCTGTGCCCTGTGTGCGTTGCTTTAAGGAAGGTTCCTTGGGGAAATTCCATGCGCTGCTCAGGGCCTTGGAGGAAGTTGAAGGGAGTTAGAGGTTGTCAGGCTTCTCCTGTTTGGTGTCAGTTCCAACCCCTACTGCCTACAGTTTCCAGTATCAGAGGAATACTGGTATACTGATATTCAGGAGTCCACCGTGGAAGAGGTGGATTGCAGGATTCCCCCGCAACCATTTTCCAATGCCAGAGAGGCAGCCGGAGCATTTTAAAGGAATTTTCATTGAGATACCCTTTGCATATCACAGTATATGAGCCCCAGGTTCCATTATAAAGATCTCCTATTTTTAACTTTTGTAAAATGATTCTCCCAGTAAGCCTAGTGAACATGCATTACCAGATTATAGGTTTTTCCTTACAATGAGGACTTGTCCGATCCACTCGCTTAGCAGGTTTCAGATGCACACCCTGTATTATTACTGTACTCAGCATGCTCTGCCCCGCATCCCCTGAGTTGTTGCCCTTATAACTGGAATTTTGTTGAGTCTCAGACCACGAACACCCAACCCCAGGGACCACTAGTCTGTTCTCTCCATCTGAGTCAGTCTTTTTGGATTCCACACACAAGGAGTGTAGATGGTGGTTGTCTTTCTCTGCCTGCCTTCCACCACTTAGCACAAGGCCCTCGAGTTTCCTGGATGGTGTTGCAAAGGGCAAGGTTTCCTTTTCCTGGTTGAGTCATGTTCCTTGGCACATATGCCTGTGTTTCTTCACTCATCCACCCGTGGGGGAAACCTCGGTGGTTGCTGTGTGCTGCAGGGGCACAGGGGGCAGATACCTGTCCTGGGCAGTGTTCTCCTGCCTCCAGACAAGAGGGTTCTTCTGTACTTGTTGCCCCACTTAGACCTGGGCCCCCAGGTACATGTCACATGGTCTGTATTCACCTGTCTGTCAGTGAGCATGAAGGCTGTTTGCAAATCTTAGCTACTGTGAACATTCCTCTCGGGACCAGGGGAGCACACATATCTATCTGAGGCCCTGCTTTCTTTGCCTTTAGGTGCACATTTGGAAGGGGATTGCTGGATCCTGTGGTAGGTGTATTTTTAGGTTTTGGGGGAAAGGCCATCCTGTTGTACACAGTGGCTGTGCCTGTTTACAGTCCCTCCAAACATGCAAAAGGCTGCCTTTCTCCCCATCTTTGAGCTTCTATTTTCCTCAGTAGCTATGCTAACAGGTAGGAGGGGATACTGAGGTTTTGATTTGCATTGCCTTCGTGATTAGTAATGTTGACCATCTTTGCACACACCTGTCAGCCACGCACGGCAAAGGAAAACATCAACACTGTGAACAGGCAGTTTAGGGAATGGGAGAAGTATTTGCAAACCCTGTATCTGACAAGGGGTTAATATCTGAAATAGAAAGGATCTCATCAACCTCAGTATCAACAACAACAAAGAACCCCTGATAAACTTGCAGAAAACCTGAGGAGACATTTTGCCAGAGACATACACGTGGTCAGTGGACTGTTGATAGGGAGTGCCCTGAATTTGTAGTTGCTGCTGGTGGTACACCTCAAACTCCTTTAAAGACCAAGTGTGGCCTGACCCTGCATGAGGTCAGGAGTGAGGGTGCAGATGACTGCCACCTGGTGGCAGCTCTCTGTCTGTGTCCCCTGAGATGCAGAGCTGTGGTCCTGCTTCCCTGAAGCTTGGGCTACAGCTGAGGCCTCCTGTGAGTTCTTCCTTTGTCCTCAGTGACCCAGTGAGAGCACTCCTGGTGGGATCCATTCTCTCCAAGACCCAGCGTTTGCTTTTCCTTCCCTGCTGTGTGTGCGTTGTCTTCCCCCCGCCTGTTCCTGTGGGTTTATCTCCTTCAATGCTGGCTTATTGGTGGTAGAAAGTCAGCCTGTTGATTTGGGAGCATTTCTCACTCCTAACATACAAATATTCAATGTTATAAATCTCTCTGAGCGCTCCTTATGTGGCTTGGCTACAGTTTTGTATGTTGTGTTTTCATTTCTGATTTGTTAAAAAGATTTTCTGATTTGTTCTGTGGTTTGTCCCCGACCCATTGGAAACATTCTGGTTAATTTCTGCAAAGTTGGAGGCTTTCCAGATATTTTTCTGTTATTGATATCTTTTCAATTATGCTGGAGACACTGACATACACTGGATGATTTTAAATTGTTTTGTTGTTTGAGACTTGCTTTGTAGCTCAGTGTGGACTGTAGTGTGTGACATTGTAGTGTATTCTGCTCCTATTGGGTGAGATGCCTAATAAATTCCCACTGGGTCTAGTGGCTTACAGGGTGGTTCAAGTCTTGTACATCTTTACTGATACACTGATATGTTGTCTGCTTGATTTTTCCTTGTAGGCAGATGAATGTTGAAATACCCACTTACAATTATTAATTTGTTTGTTCTTTCATTTCTGTCAGTGTTTTTTGAAATGTTTGCAATTCTGTTATTAGGTCCATTCTGAGTTAGTATTAGTGTGTGTTCCTGGTGAATGAACGGGCCATTTTAAGACTGGAAACTGCTCCCCGCCCTCCGCCTGTTTAGTTCTGGTAATGCTTTGTCCCAAAATCTACGACGTGATTTAATGAGTTAGTGAACTGTAGAGCCTATTTCCTTTCTTTGGATGAATATTTCCAAAGCGTATCAATTTCTATCCTTTCATCTTTAATCTATCTCTTTATGTTTGATATCTCTAGTGATTTTTAAAACATAAATAATGGGCATCTGAGTTTCATCTTTACTGGCTTTACAATCTTTCCCTTTAAGACTGAGTGCCTATGCCCTCAGCAGCTGAATTCATTTCTCCATGTAGAGCCACATTCCACTGGAATTCACTTTTTTCTTCTTCCTAAACAAATAATAATTCTCCTCTCCTTCATCCTCCCCTTCTTCTTCTCTATCTTCTTTTTCCTCTTCCTCCTCCTCTTCCTCTTTCTCTTACCCCTCCTCGTCTTTCTTCTTTTTCTCCTCCTCTTACTCCTGCTCCTTCTTTGTTTTTAAAATAGTGCCAGTTTTTGGTGGTGAGGATTTTTCTAAGATTTCTCTTTGTGGTTTAAAAATTTATAGCTCCCCTTAAGACTTGACTTGCATTTTTAGAGCAGTTTTAGGTTCACAACAAAATTGAGGGGAAGGTATAGAGATCCCAGATGTACCTTCCACCCCCACCTGCACAGCCCTTGATAGCGAGCACACCCACCAGACAGTAGGGACACTTGTGAAAACCAACAACCCCGAACTGACACATCATCATCACCCAGAGTCCATTTTACCATTTTAAATGTTAAAATGTTTTGTTTATTTGCTTTCAGAGAGAGAAGAAAGGAAAAAGAGAGTGGGAGAGGAACATCGATGTCTGGTTGCCCCTCAGGTGCCCCTTACTGGGAAGTTGGCCCCCAATCCAGGCATGTGCCCT